AGCCTGGCTTTGGTCCCTTTTTTTTGGCACTTAGTGTTCACATCAGTGGTCAAAGTGTCGAGCGCGGGGTGGGGGGGTCCCCGTGGTCCCTGTGGTGGGGTGGGGGCCCTGAAGCAGTGACACCCTCCCACCCCAGGGATGAGGGGACCCCGACTGGGAGAGGGCACCCCACGGGTCAGCCCTCGGCGCTGGGGTCCCACCACAGCTGGATTTGGCCTCTGTCTTGGGTGGTCTGGGGGTGGTCTGGCGCAGGGACGGGGGTGTCACCCGCGAGGACGGTGGCACGAGGACATTTCCCCCCGACCCCTGCATGGTGTCGGGGCAGGACAGAGCCTCCCCGGGCACCTGCAGGGCAGAGGGGGGTGAGGAGGGGAAACTGAGGCAGCCCCAGCCCCCCCTGCCCCCAGCTGGGTCCTCGACCTCTCCCGGCTACAGGCGGATGCACCTGCGGGCTGTGGGACAGAAGGGACAGTCAGGGACAGTGCTGGGGACAGCTGGCCTGGCCCAAGGGAGGGCCCAGGTGACCCCCCCAGGGTACAGGCAGCTCAGGGTGAGTCCTCCCAGCACTGGGCTGGGACCCAGTAGTGCACTGGGATCCCACTCTGGGATCCTGTAGGGCACTAGGACCCCGTGCTGGGATCAATCAGTGCGCTGGGACCCTTCCCTGGGATCCAGTGTTGCATTGGGATCCCACCTCAGACCCAGCAGTGCACTGGGGTCCTGTCCTGGGATCCAGTGATGCACTGGGACCCTGACTTGTGATCCAGTATTGCACGGGGACCCCCCCCAGTATTGCACTGGAATCCCTTCCTGGGACCAGCCTGGCACTGGGATCTGTGCTGGGACCCTGCACTGCATCAAAACCCCCATGTGGGAATCCAGCCTTGCACCAGGATCCAGTGCTGGGATCCAGCCTTGAGCTGGGATCCTGTTCCAGGATCCAGCCTTTCACCAGGATCCTGCTCCGTTCCAAGGGACTGGAGGGTGCTGGGCACCCCAGGGTGACAGCATGCGGGGAGGGGGCGTGCAGGAGGGGACATGCGGGGCCAGAAGGGATCCGGGGGGGGATCCAGAGGGGGATCCAGGAGGATCCAGGCATGCAGTGGTACCTGGGGACTAACAGCTGGACTCGTCGTGGTGGGACGGGTCGCAGAAGAA